ATATGAGTAATACTCTAAATGGTCAATAAAGTCTGTGTAAATTAAATCACTTTTCTGAATTATTTCTTCACTATGAAACCAGACATTTAACTGAGAAGAATATTTGAAAGTAGTGCTGGAGAGAGAGCTCAGCAGTTTAGAGCACATGCTGCTCTAGCAGAGGACCTGAGTTCAGTTCCTACCACCAACATCAGGTGGCTCACAACAACCTAAGTTGAGCATGAGGGGATCTAACGCCTTTCTGGTCACCACTGATACCTGTGTGCACATGCTCCCGTGCTTGCTCTCTCTCTCTCTCTCTCTCTCTCTCTCTCTCTCTCTCTCTCTCTCTCTCTCTCTCTCTCTCTCTCTCTCTCTCTCTCTCTCTCTCTCCCTCTCTCCCTCTCTCCCTCTCTCCCTCTCTCCCTCTCTCCCTCTCTCCCTCTCTCCCCCTCTCTCTCTGTCTCCTTACACAAACAAGATTGAAAATAAATTTTATTCCAAAAGAGTTGCACAGACCTCTACTCTGGGTCAGCTGTAATGTGGGTGTATGTGTGCTTGTACGTTTGTGTGCCTGTACCTGTGTGTGTGTGTGTGTGTGTGTGTGTGTGTGTGTGTGTGTGTGTGAGCACGTGTAGGCATTGCCTAGGCAGGATACTGTGACTTCAAGCAGCCACAGGGGTCCACTCACCTCATTTTGGTATTAGTAAAAGCTTCTGTGTGAAGTAAATGCATTGCTCCTCACTCTACATTGATCCCCCAGTACTTGCAAAGGTACACACACAATCCCTCTCCCACCTCTTTACCTTAGAAATGCAGAGGGGAAAGGAACAAAATCAAAGCACTTTCTTGTTTGAATTCACTCCGTTCTACGTCTTCCCCATTGTCCTTTCTTGCCACCTTGGTAGGTAGACTTTTCCCGCCTTCTTTTTCCACACACACATTTTTACTCTTTGTACAGCTCAACCTGTTCTGGGTGCTTGCAATTCTCCCTACAAGGCTGTCTTATTTTCACCCAACATGCTCCAATGGTTATTCTGATTAGTTCTTCACAATTCTATTCCAGAGTCTCCACCACCAGGAACTTTTCTCTGGCCACCCAGTCCCTGCCTCATTGGTGGCTTCCTCGTACCAGTATGTTCCCTTTCTAGCATATTTCTAGTGCAAGGAATAGCATCCCAGAAGTTCATTCGCAAATATCTAATAGCTAGAATAGCCCAAAACAGCATTCCAAAGCTTAGAATTTTAAAGCTACCTGTGTACAATAAAATGAAATACATGGTAAGAGGCATTTATTAGGCAAATGGAAGATTATATTATATACACATATAAGTGTTCTGTCTCTATATCACCTTAAATGTAAAATAGATACTTCAGACATCAATAATGCTGGGCCCTGTCAGGGTTCTTATTTCCACCAAATCTGGAAGGGCTAGCACAGTCCACAAACACATCCTCTGGAAGCCAGATGTGCAGCTGCCAATATTCCTAACTGCCTGCTTCCTCTGTATTCTGCCTCTCCATGTTAGTAGGCTCTCTGAAGCATCCTGTGGATGTAGTTTTTTACCCAAGTTCCTCAGAAGGCAGCCAAGTCTAGGGAGTAGAATTTATAAAGAAAGATGTAGATGGCACTTTCTATCCTGCCTGGTCCTGCAGCAGTTTACTCCCAAATAAACACACAGAAGCTTATATTAATTATAAACTGTTGGGCATATAGCTCTGGCTTCTTATTGGCTAGCTCTCTCTTAATTATTAACCCATTTCTATTAATCTACGTATCTCTACATTATCTTGGCTGACCTGCAATGCCCGGGTCTCTTGCTTCCTCGGCAGCTACATGGTGTCTGCCTGGCTACACCTACTACGTTTCTCTATCCCTGTTTCAATTTCCCACTTGGCTAAATTCTGTCTGTCCAGTGGCCAAAACAGACTTATTCATCAGCCAATAAGAGAAATGTATACTCACAGCATACAGAAGGACATTCCCCCATTAGAAAGTTTAAAGAACTTCAGTAAGCCATAACTCTCTTTATATCACTTGGAAACAAAGTCCTCTCTGCACGTTCTTTTTGTTATTAAAAGAGAATTTGAAGACAGACTCAGAAGAGAACTCATTTTGAAGACAGACTCAGAAGAGAACTCATGGACAATTCATTGGGAATCAGAGAGACCAGGTCAAGGAAGCCTGCCATCTTGACTGATGGGGATGTCTTCTGCACATATGTTTCTCTTACTGGTTGATGAATAAAACACTGCGGCCAATATGGCAGCAAGATGGGTGGGTCTAGTAGATGAGGAGAATTCTGGGAAGTGTAGGCAGAGAGGAGTCATCATGTGATCCCAGGGAAGAGAAGTCGTGAGTGAGACATTCTCCAGTAAGATAAGACCACGTGGAAATACATGGATTAATAGAAATGGGTTAATAATTAGAACAGAGCTAGCCAATAAGAAGACCTAGTCATCAGCCAACAGTTTCATATTTAATATAGTGTCTGTGTGTTCATGTTGGACGAGGTGGCTGTGGAACCCGGAAAGATGTTCCAGAACACTTGACTGCTTCCAGGAGGAGAGGGATGGAAGGAGGGAAGTGAGAGAAAGCTAACACCTTAAGTGGAGCAGGAGATAAACAGTTCACCCTAGAAGATAAGGAGACACTCCAGGGAAGGAACAGAACTCACTGTCCAGGGCCTTTGTTCCTTGTAACTTCTAGTGAATAAGATAAAACTGCTGTTCTTCCAGAGTGACCCAAGCTTTGGGCAGCACCCCACCATTTCAGGACAACCAATGAGGAAACGTTTCACCTCAATATCATTTATTTTAGCCTTGTAGTGCTTGCTCTAATCAGCCTAAAACATTGGAACAGAAGAAAGAAAATGGCTGTGCTTGTCATTTTCCTTTATAGTCAGTAGTCATGGAGTAAACGTAAACTTTTGACAGCTTTGAGCCTTCCATTGGTTGGTCTTTGGCGTGTGATCAGTGTGATAGCAGCTTATGAATCTTTATTCGTCACTCATAAAGCCAGCCCTGGTTCTCGCTAATCTGGCCACAATGAAAGCTAGGTTTGGAATGAAAGCAATTTGGAGACTTTTCATTATAGCACTTGAAATCTACCTCCTTTAAAAAATTTTAGTGCCCAACTCTAATAATTGCTATTGTCAGCTCAACACCTAGGAGCCAAGACTCAGAGCACATCTGTGAAGGGTTGACTAGATTAAAGAGAGCTTCTAGGATCGTCTGAGGGATTGTCATGATTTCCTGGGCAGGGTTAGGGAGTGAAGACTGTATAAAAGGGACAGGACAAGCTGAGCAGTATCATGCAGGCATTAATTCATTTCTCTTTGTTTCTGAGTGCATGCTATGTGACCAGTTCTCCCAGACATCTGAGACTGTGACTTCCTGGTCATGGTGAACTCTAAACTTGAATTGGAACCTAATAAACTCTTTCTACCTTAAGTGGCCTTTTTCAGAGTATTTTAACACAGCACCGGGAAAAGAACCTAATATACCCACCTAGCAGGTGCTCACCAACCACTGATCACACCACTTGTATTAGGGGAAACTAACTTATTGAAAGCTGTGTGTGTCACAGAGTGACTGGGAAGCAGATGGCTGTAGCTGGTCCTTTTATTCCTCTCCTTCCTGCCAGCATCCCCTGTCACTCAGAGGTCTTACAGCTCCTCAAGGAGGTTTCAGAGAGGACTAACCTCTGCTCAGTTCCCATATCAACAATTAAGTGACAGGCTAATCTTTGCTTGTATCTTCCAATTGAGAGAAGGCCCAGATCATAATGGAGGGAGAGCAATTTTATACTCTGTCAATAAAAATTACAAGAAATGATTATATTTTTTCCCTGAAAGAAGTAAGCAGATATATCACTCCACACCAATAAGAAGGAAGTTTAATGATATATTACGGGAAGTTCACCATCTCCTTTTACAGAACTCTTTGCTTTTGTCTATAACATCTGGCATCTCATTAAACGTTTTTTCTAAAACAAATGCAGACTCTTGCTTGGAAGGCAAATTCAGGTTCCACCTATATACTTACAAGTAGGCTTAAATTCCAGCCTATTCTATTTCATGCTGTGTCAATAGGGATACATGAAAGAAATAAATTATTAGAGTAAGTATTTTCCACTTTGTGATTCTACTTGTTAATCCTAATTTCTCCTTTTTTCAACATGATCTTCTTATGGACTCAGTGCTCTCCAAGCAAGTGGCAGCTTAAAACAATTTAACAGCACAACCCCCAACATGTCCTCCCATCTGGAAACGAAGTCAACCAAGACAGCTAGTGACTAAAGTCAGCAAGGAAAAATGAGACAGGTTTGCAGTAGGAGATTCACTCTGCCAGTCATTCGCTGACTTTGTAATGTTGGGTATTGAATTGGCTTTAGTTGTTGTGGTTGGTTTAGCGAGACAGGGTCTTGTCATGTACCCTGATTGGTCAGATACAATGCAGCCCATGCAGATTTCTGTCTACCTCAGTCTCCCAACAGCTGAGATTAAAGGGGTGTGCCAGTATATCTGGCTTCTGAGTTTGTTTTCACAGGAAATGTAGTACAGTTTCTATCCCACCTGGTCCTGCAGCCTTTTAGTCCCAAATAATCACACAGATGTTTATAATAATTATGAACTGTTTGGTCTATTGCTCAAGTTTATTATTATCTGGCTCTTACAAATCATTTTAACCCATACTTATGTATGTTTAGCCACAAGCTTGGTAACTTTTCTCAGTAAGGAATTCTCATCTTACTTCCTCTGTGTCTAGCAGGGTGGCTTGTCTCTCCTTTCCTCTTCCCAGAATTCTCCTAGTCTGGTTGCCCCCACTTATGCTTCCTGCCTGGGTGATGGACAATCAGTGATTTATTAAATATATACAGGTGACAAATCTTTACAGTGAAAAAGAGCATTATTTTTCTTTCTTTTCAAAACATGAACCCCAGATCTAATCTCCTTTGTTTAGCTTTTGTTCCTGACCATTATCTATAACAACTTGTAACAAACACAATAAACAAAGACAAATATCCATAATCCATTTTTGGGAATGTGGGTGTAGTTTTCTAGGTTACATTCTGCAAATTGAGGGTGCGGGTAATCCTTTGGGGAGCCAAAGAAAATTTAGGATTATGGCCAAGTATTAACTGGGAAGTATTCTGTGAGGCTGGATCATCTCAACCAGCAGCCTTGAAGTTGTTTTGGATGCAGAATTCAGGAGAAACTGAAACAGAGGTACTCTGAAATGTTGGACCATCTGGGTCATCTGTTCCCTTTGGAGATATTTCAAGGAGTCTTCCTCAATAAAACTTTAATTTTCTTAACACAGAATGAATCCACAGTATCTTATTTCCTGTGGAAACAAAAGCAAAACATCTTATCCAAAGTAAAATACCTTTGACTTAAATTTTAAAGTCAAGGCATTTTCAAAACATATAGGTTAGATTAATCCAGCAGCATTTATAATCAAATATCTTTTAGCAGCTGTTTCTCCTTTCTCAGCAGTCAAACAATTTAAAGAAACACAACAACATACAGTATCTAGACTATCTGTGTATTTTCCATCTTTACGTAACATTTTTTATTATTTTATTTCTCTTATTTTAATTTTTATTTTTTAAGGTACACAGGGTTTCTCTGTGTATCTTTGGTTGTCCCAGAACTCACTCTGTTGCCCAGACTGGCTTTCAAATCACAGAGATCTGCCTCCTCCGCCTCCTGAGTGCTGGGAATAAAGGCTTATGCCACCATGGGCAGCTACTCTATTTGTTTTCTAAGGATGTTGTCTCTCCTTTTTCTTTTCTATCCCAAGCCTACTTGTATTTTCAGACACACTGTAAACATTTTAGAGTGGTTTTCTTGCTGCTGTTGATTTTTTCTTTTTCTTTTTGTTTTTTTCTTTAATCTTAATCTTTCTTTATGTATACCTCTATCATTTTGTGACCACACGAGTCTTTATTCTGCTAAGCTGCATGGCTAGGATTAACACTACAGCTTTGGAGGCTGGCACTGCCCCATTCCTTGGCTTCCTGGGAGTCTAGCTTCATGGTAGAAGTACTGGAAGGAACCATCTTTATTGTCCCAACTCTGCAGAGTTTCTCGTGCATGACACCACCAAGAAATATGCACAAGATGCTCATAAACTCCATTTAAGTGTTTGGTAGCAGGACCTCTTAAAAGAGTTGTGCAGTTTTGGCTACTAATACTGAGTCAGTAACCATCTCTTAAAGGAGCTGTGCCTTTGCTTGACTCTAGCAAACAGAGCCCACCTGAAAAAATGCTGCTACCAAGAAGCCATGCTTTCCTCTATTTCTTAATGTTTAGAATCCCTTCCCAAGCTCTCTCTGGATTTATGCGGATGTAGTTGCCCAACACTGGGCACCATTTGTAGACAGAAGCTTCTGTCCTACCTGGTCCCACAGCTATTTAGTCCCAAATAATCACACAGAGACTTATATTAATATAAACTGTTTGGTCTGTTACTCAGGCTTATTACTATCTAGCTCTTATAACTTGTATTAACTCATAATTCTTGCCTATGTTTAGCCAAATGGCTTGGTAGGTTTTCTCAGTAAGGCATTCTCTGTGTCTAGCTGGTGACTGTATCTCTCCTTTCCTCTTCCCAGAATTTTCCTAGTCTGGTTGCTCTACCTATACTTCCTGTCTGGCTACCGGCAATCAGCATTTTATTAAATCAATATGAGTGACACATCTTTACAGTATACACGAGCATTATCCCACAGCCCCTATGTGTTTCAGTCTCTTATACCACACACACCAGCATTTTCTTCCTTTTTATATGGCAAACTTTTTTCACTCCATGCATGTACATTTTGACTAGTTCTGTGAAATTTTTACAGTATGTTTTGCTCCTATTCACCCCCTCTTCTAATTCCTCCCAGATACAAGCCCCTTTCCCAGCTCACTTAACTTTGTGGTCGCTTTCATTTTTACCCTATCAAATCCCATATACTCTTGGATATATAACCTTCCAGTGGAGTATGTTTGACCAAACGGGGCTATACTCTTAAAGAAAACAGATTCTCCTGTCCCAGCAGCTATCAATTGCCAGCAGCTCTTTGGCTAAAGGTGGAGCTTGGTGTCCACACCTCCTCTCCACCCTAGGATCTGACCTGGCTGAAGCTTGCACAGCTCTCGTGAATTCCGTCATAACCACTGCCCTCCCATGTCCAGAAGACCGTGTTTGTTTGTAGCTATCCAACACCTCTAGTTCTTACACTCTTTCTTCCTTCTCTTCCACACTGATCCTGAGCCTCTCAGAGAAGAAGTGTGACACAGACGTGGGCTTTCCTGCAGAGGAATGACCCATGTGAGACCAGAAGAAAGCTGAGTTAACACAGCTTACTCCAAGAGTCTGATACTGGGCAGTTTATTTTTCACATAGTTAAGCACAGTACAACTTTGGGAAAAGTTTCCTCGTGACTTCTATCACAACAAAGCTGAAAACATGACTACATAGAAACTCGGTTGCAATGCAGATGTCCTTTTCCGAGAACCTCTGACCTCTTCCTTAAGAGTGGGTTCTGTTGACCAAGGAGCAATGCTCAGGATAATGGTCTGGGGAGAAAGGGTCTGTAAAAAGCTCAAGAATAGACTTTTTGCAAGATACATGGGACCTCTTCTATAAGAATTGTTCTATTGACGGATAAACAATACGCAGGAGTCTGTGATACACACAGTAGTCTGGGGATTCAGTGAAGCCTGTCCTTACAGCAAAGGATCACTAGACTATTAATAATATCCACTCCCAGTCTTCTGGGTAAAAAACAGATCTAAATACCATCCACCGAAGAGAAAAGTATGACATTACTGATTTCTCTAGTGCTATCTGTGAGCATGAGGAACTAGTTCCCTTTTACACATGGATGTCCCATTTAGGGTTGAATCTTCCACAGTCTTACTATAGTCTCTGCAGGCTGACCAACTGCGGATATCTGTGTTAATCACCAGATACTGCAAATAGATGCTCTTCCAATAATAGTTGAGATTTTGTTTAATCTATAGGTATAAAGATAAGTCATTGATAATGCATTTAATACTATGTCCATTTAGCAGTAGGTCTTACCTAGAGCCTATGATGTGTCTAGCCACAGGTTTTTAGCCTAATAATGGTACCAGAATTGGGTTTCACCTTATGGAGCAGCACTTACACCCAATCAAAAAGTGGTTGTTTCTCCGAGTGTGCATGTCTATATAGGCCAGTCATTATTGTAGCTTGTGTGGTTCACAACTGAGTAAGATTGATGTTTATCCTGACATGAAGCCTTCGTCACTCCTTTCAGACATTGTCTAAGGACATGTATTCACAAATACTATATTTTCACACACTGTTTGGTTTATTCTTTTTGTATACTCAATCTCACATGTAGATATGTTACATGATTTTAAATAAAACACAGTAACTCCCTAAAGTTTTGAAACAATAAACTATTAATTGACACCATGCTCTACCAGAGACCACTCCAGCCAACAGTAGTCTAGCTAGGCCACCAAGCAGTAGAACTTCCCTGCTCTCTCAGTGACCTCCCCACCTAACTCCCAATCACAACCCTCTCTGTGTCACCATATCCCAGCTCCCAAGATAAGTGGAGACCCCTGCCTGAACACAAGAAGTCCAGCCCCCAACTCAAGTGGAGACCTCTTGCTCAATCAGAGGACACTCTGGTCAGAAAACCAGAAAGGAAACAGAAACCAAGGGAAAAACCTCCATCTAACTAAGACAAGCTCAAAAGATGGCACTTAGACCCCAAAGCCAAATTCCCAGAGGCCAGCATGAGAATATAATCTACAACATCCAGGATAATATGTCATTACTACCAGAGCCCAGCTATCCTACTAAAACAAGCTCTGAATATTCAAGTGCATCTGAAATACAAGAAAAAGACCTTAGAAGGTGATAGTGACCCTCAAAGAGGAAATAAATAAATTTCTAAAAGAAATTGAGGAAAAAGAAGACAGAAAATTGGAGAGAATTAATGAATCCCTTAAAGAATTGGTACAGGAGACAACTTCTAGAACATAACTCCAGTAATATAGACGCTAAGATCGACAATTAATACATGGGACCTCCTGAAACTGAGAAGCTTCTGTAAAGCAAAGGACACAGTCAGCAAGACAAAAAGGCAGCCCACAGAATGGGAAAAGATATTCACTAGCCCCACATCTGACAGAAGGCTGATCTCCAAAATTTACAAAGAACTCAAGAAGCACGTCTCCAAAACACCAAAGGATCCAATCAAAAAACGGGGTACAGAACTAAATCGAGAATTCTCATAAGGGGAGTCTAAAATGGCTGAGAGACATGTGAGAAAGTGCTCAACATCCCTAGCCACCCAGGAAATGCAAATCAAAACAACTCTGAGATATCATCTTACTCCTGTCAGAATGGCTAAAATCAAAACCTCCAATGACAGTTTATGCTAGAGAGGATATGGAGAAAGGGGAACACTCCTACACTGGTGGTGGGAGTGCTGACTTGTACTGCCACTTTGGAAATCAGTATGGAAATTCCTCAGGAAAATGGGAATCAGTCTACCAGCAATTCCACTCTTAGGCATATACCCAAAAGATGCACATTCATACAACAAGGATGTCTATTCCACTACGTTCATAGCCAGAACCTGGAAGCAACCTAGATGTCCCTCAACTGAAGAGTGAATAGAGAAAATGTGGTAAATTTACACAATGGAGTACTATTCAGAGGGAATAAACAATGGAATCTTGAAATTTGCAGGCAAATTGAAAGCACTAGAAGAAACCATACTGAGTGAGGTAACCCAGTCACAAAAAGAAAAATGTGGTATGTACTCACTCATTTATGGATTTTAGACATGAATCAGGGGAGTGCCAGCATACAATCCCACTGCCAGAGAGTCTCTGAAACAGAAGCTTCATACAGCGACTGATAAAAGCGTAGGCAGATACCCACAGACAAACACTGAACTGAACTCCTGGAATGCAGTGTCAGAAAGAGAACTGATGGACAAAGGAGTTAAGAGTGGGCTGGTTTAGCCCACAGACACAGCTGACCTGAACAAGGGGGAGCTCTTGAACTCCAGATTGATGGCTGTGTGGAAAGCATGGGGCTGACCCAGACCCCCTGAATGTGGGTGTCAGTTAGGAGGCCTAGGTAATCTATGAGGCCTTGGGTAGTATTTATTCCTGGAGTACAAATAGAAGTTGAGTGCCCATGCCACAATATGGGAGGCTTTCTCAGCCAGAACTCTTGGAGGGAGGACCTAGGCCCTGACCTAGTTGAAATGACAGTTACTGGATATCCACCATGGAGTGCCTCACCCTCCTTGGGGATCAGACTGGAAATAGGGTGGGGGACTGGGGGACCTGCTGGGGAGGGAGGGGGAGTAGGGGAGGGAGAGGGAGCTAGGATTGACCTGTGAAACAAGATTGGTTCTAACTTAAATTTTTAAAAATCTAAAAAAAGGAAGAAAATTGGAGAGAATTAATGAATCCCTTAAAGAAAATGAAGAAAAAACCAAACAGCTATAAGAAATTAATAAACTGTCAAAGACCTGGAAAGGAAATAGAAATAATAAAAACACACATTGAGGAAATTCTGACCATAAAAATCTAAGTAAATGAACAGGGTCTACAGACAAAACCATCACCAACAGAATAATAGAGATGGAAGAGACAATATCAGGTGCTGAAGACATGATAGAAGAAATAGGTTAATAGCTCAAAGAAAAAATTAAATCTAAGAAAATTCTGATACAAAACAGTCATGAAATCTGAAACACTATGAGTAGACCAAACGTATAAAAAAATAGAAATAGAAGACAGAAATGTATTCTTGCTCAAAGGCCCAGAAAATATTTTCAACAAAATCATAGAAGAAAATTTTCCTAAAGAGAAGATGCCTATAAATGTACAAGAAGCATGTAGAATACCAAATAAACTGGACCATAAAAAAGTTCCCTAAACACATGATAATCAAAGCACTGAACATACAGAGAAAGGAAAGAAGATTAAAAGCTGAAAGAGAAAATGGCTATGCAATCTATAAAGGCAGATCTATTAGAATTGTATCCAACTTCTTAATGAAGACTTTAAACGCCAGAAGAACTTGGGCATTGTCTTAAAAATTCTAAGAAACTGAAGATGCCATCCCACACTACTATACCCTTCAGTCAACATAGAAGGAGAAAATGAGATATTCCATGATAAAGTCGAATTTATTCAATAGCTATCCACACAAATCCTGCCTACAGAAGATACCAAAGGGAAAACTCCAAAAGAAGGTTAACTACAATCATTAAAACACAGAAAATAAATGATCTCTCACCAGCAAAACCAAAAGAAATCTCTCTCTCTGTCTCTGTCTCTCTCTCTCTCTTGCTCTCGCTCTCTCTCTCTCATACACACACACACACACACACACACACACACACACACACACTCACGCCATGAACAACAGCAAAAACAGTAATTAACAAGCATTGGTCATTGATATCTCTTAATATTAATGAATTCAACTGCCCAGTAAATAGATACTAACAGAATAGATATGAAAACAGGATGGAATTCTTCTGCTGCATACAAGAAGCATACCTCAACATCAAAAATAGACATCACCTCAAAGTAAAGGGTTGGAAAAAACTTTACCAATGAAATGGACCTAAAAAAAGTTAGTGTAGTTCTCCTAATATCTAACAAAATATACTTCAAACCAAAATTAATCAAAAGAGGTAGAGAAGGACATTCCATACTCATTAGGGGAAAATACATAAAGATGTCCCTAATACAAAGGCCCCACATTTGTAAAAAAAATTAAAACTGAAATCACACATCAACCTCACGTATTAAGAGTGGGAGACTTCAACATCCCACTCTCACCAACGGACATGTTGCCAAGACAGAAACTAAACAGAGAAATAATGGATTTTATTACTGAAATTGACCTAACAGATATCTACAGAACATTTCACCCAAGCACAAAAGAATACACCTTCTTCTCAGCACCTCATGGAAACTTCTCTAAAAGTAACCATATAATCAGTGACAAAGCAAGTCTCAACAGACAGAAAAATAAGGAATTAACCCCCTGTGTCTCATCAGATCACAATGGATTAAAGCTAGAGTTCAACAGCAATAGAAACAAGAGAAAGCCTACAAACTCTCAACTTAATTACCACTGGGTCAAGAAGGAAATAAAGAAAGTAAAGATTTCCTAGGATTCAGTGGAAAGGAAGGCATACCATACTCAAACATATGGGATACAGTAAAAGCAGCGCTAAGAAAAGACTTCATAGCACTAAGTGCCTATATAAAGAAACTGGAGCGATCTCATACTAGCAACTTGACAGCATAGCTGCAAGTTCTAGAACATAAAGAAGCAAACTCATCCAAGAGGAGTAGATGGCCGGAAATAATCAAACTGAGGGCTGACATTAATAAAATAGAAACAAAGAGAACAATACTAGGAATTAATATCGCAAAGAGTTAGTTCTTTGAGAAAATCAACAAAATAATCAAAATCTTATCCAAACTAACTGAACTTCACAGAGAAAGAATATCCAAACTAACAGAACCAGAAGTGAAAAGGAGAACTTAACAATAGATATTGAGTCAATCCAGAGAATTCGTGATTCTCTTTTTTAAAAAACTGCAATCCGCAAAATTGGAAAGTCTAAATGAAATGTACAAACTTCTTGATCAATAGCATGTACCAAAATTATGTCAAGTTCATATAAACAATTTAAATAGACCTATAACCCCTAAGGAAATAGAAGCAGTCATTAAAAATCTCCCAAAGTAAAAAAGCCCAAGATCAGATGGTTTCAGCACAGAATTCTATTAGACTTTCAAAGAGCTAAAACCAATACGCCTAGAAATACCCCACAAAATAGAAACAGAAGGAACATTGTCAAATTCATTTTATGAGGCCACAGTTCCCCTGATACCCAAACCACACAAAGGCCAAACAAAAAGAATTACAGACCAATTTCCCTCATGAACATCCATGCAAAAATCTTCAATAAATCTCTTACAAACCAAATATAAGAATTCATCAAAAAGATCATCCACCATGACCAAGTGGGCTTCATCCCAGAGATGCAAGGATGGTTCAACATATGAAACTCAGTCAATGCAATCCACCATATAAAGGAACTGAAAGAAAAAAAACATGGTCTTCTCATTAGATGCTGAAGGAAAAAAAAACCTTTGACAAAATCCAACACCCCTTCAAAAGTATTGGAGAGGTCAGGGATACAAGGAACATATCTAGCCATAATAAAAGCAACATAGAGCAAGCCCACAGCCAATAACCAATGGAATGGAGAAAAACTCAACACAATACCACTAAAACCAGGAACAAGACGAGGCTGGACACTCTCTCTATGTTTATTCAAAACAGTACTTAATGTTGTAGCTAGAGCAATAAGACAACTGAAGGAGACTAATGGGGCACAAACTGGAAAGGAGGAAATGAAAGCATATTACTTATACATGATATGATAGTATTCAAAAGTGACCCCCAAAATTCTACCAAGGAATTTCTACAGCTGATAACCACCTTTAGTGAAGTGGCAAGATACAAGTTTATCTCAAAACATTCAGTAGCCCTCTACTAGACAAAAATAAACAGGCTGAGAAAGAAATCATGGAAACTACATGCTTTGCTTCACAATTACCACAAACAATATAAAATATATTGAGGTGACTCTAACCAAGCAAATGAAAGACTTGTATGATACAACTTCAAGTTTTTGAAGAAATAAATTGAAGAAGATATCACAAGACAAAAACATCTCCCATACTCTTTGATACGTAGGATTGACAGAATAAAAATGGTTATCCTACCAAATCAATCCACAGATTTGGTGCAATACCCATCAAAATTCCAGCACAATTCTTTAGCTTGAAAGAACAATACTCAGCTTCATATGGAAAAAAGCAGAATAGCTGAAACAATCCTCTACAATAAAAGAACTTGCAGAGGTATCACCATACCTGATTTCAAGCTCTACTATAGTAATAAAAATAGCACAGTGTTGCCATAAAATCAGACACGTGGATCAATAGAATCAAATCAAAGACCCAGACATAAATCCATACCTATAAACACCTGATTTTTTTATAAAGAAGCCAAAATGATACAATGAAAGAAAAAAAACATCTTCAACAAATAGTGCTGGCATAACTAGATATCTGAATGCAGAAGAAGACAAGTAGATCAACGAACTCAGAATAAATTGGTTAGGCTGATCCAAGGAAATAGCCTTGAATGCATTGGTACAGGATACAACTTCCTGAATAGAACACCAGTAGCTCAGACAGGAAGATCAATAATAAATAGGACCTGATGAAACTGAAAAGTTTCTGTAAGGCAAAGGATACTGTCAACAGGACAAAATGGCAGCCAATAAAATGGGAAAAATCTTCACCAACTCCATATCTGACAGAGGGCTGATTTCCAAAATATACAAAGAACTCAAGAAACTAGACATGAAAAAAACAAATAATCCAATTTAAAATGGGTTACAGATATACACACAGAATACTCAACAGAGGTATATCGAATACCCAAGAAACACTCAAATAAATGTTCAACAACCTAGCCACCAGGGAAATGCATTCAAAACCAGTCTGAGAGTCCATTTTACACCTGTCTGAAAGGCTAAGACCAAAAGCACAATTGACAGCTTATGCTGGAGAGGATATAGAGCAAGGAAAATACTCCTCCATTGCTGGTGGGAGTGTAAATTTTACAGCCACTTTGGAAATCAATATGGTACTTTTTCAGAAAGTGGAAAATCAATATACCTCAAGACCCACATATACCACTCTTGGGCATATACTAAGGAATGCTCAGTCATACCACAAAAACACTTGCTCAACTATGTTCAAGGCAGCTTTATTTTTAATAGCTAGAACTTGGGAACAACCTGAATGTCCCTCAACTGAAGAATGGATAAAGAAAACGTAGTGCATTTACACAATTGAATATTAATTACACAGCTGTTAAAAAATAACATCATGAAATTTGAAAGCAAATAGATAGAACTAAAAAAACATCCTGAGTGAGGCAACCCAGACCAAGAAAGACAGCTACAAACATGGTATGTACTTGGTATGTACTTACTTGTAAGTGGATATTAGTAGTAAAGAATGACCACGCTGCAGTCCACAGAGAGGACAAGTGACAAAGAGGGGTCAATGGTGGAAACATGGATCTCCCTTTGATTGGTAAATAGAATAAATCCTGTGAGAGAACTGGGGGCAGGAAAATGAGGTATCAGTTTGGGGATTGTGGGTGAAGGGATTAATGACAGAAGTGACTGGAAACAGGGACATTTCTGGGCCTGGTGGAAACCTGGTGCAAAAGATACTCCTAGGAATCTACAAGGATGACCCCAACTAAGACTCCTAGCGATACTGGCACTGGCCATCTCCTGTGACCAGGAAAGACTTCCAGTGAAGTGATTGGAAACCAACCCAGACATATGATCTTTGACCCACAGTCTATCCTTCCTATGGGATGTGCTGAGTTAACAGTGCCACACAGATTATGGCAGTGGCCAACAAATGAGTGGTCCAGTCTAAGACTCACACCATAAGAGTGAGTCCACCCTTGACACTGCCTGGAGTGACCAGGACCCAGAGGCTGGATGGCCCAGAGACCTAGGATAGAACCAAACACAACTGGAGGGGGAACTATCAACATGATGGCCTTACAATATTCTGCTGTACTCGTAGATTGATGAATGCCACTACTGTCATCAGGGAACCCTCATGAGTAACTGGTAGAAACAGATGCAGAGACACACAGCCAAACATTATACCAATCTCAGGGAATCCCACTGAAGAGAGCGAGAAAGGATTTTAAGAGCCAGAAAGGTCAAGGACATTGGAAGAAACCTACAGAATCAGCTACTCTGGGTTCATAGGAACTCACAGGTTCTAACCAGACAAGCAGGGAGCCTGCATAAGACTAACCTAGGCCCTCCACAGATATGTGATAGTTATGTATGCTTGTCTACCTGTGGGACTCCTAACAGAGGGAGCAAGGGCTGTCCCTAATGCTTTGACTAGCTTTGGGGAAGCTATTCCTCATACTGGGTTGTCTTGCCCATCCTCAATACAAGGAGTGCTTAATCCCATTACAACTTGCTATGCCATGCTTTGTTCACACCCATGGGAAGCCTGACCCTTTCTGAACAGAAACAGAGAATTTGAGTGTGTGGGATTATGAACAGGAGGGATCAGGTGATGGAGAGGAATGGAGGGAGAGTATATGGGGAGAGATGCCAGGGATTGGAGGACATATGTGGGAATGATGGGAAAACCTAGTGTAGCAAGAACATCCAAATTCCACAGGGTGACCCTAGGGAGGATTCCTTGTGATGACATTCTTATCTGCTCACAGATCAGTGCCTAGTCCAATCATCATCAGAGAGGTTTCCAAAGGCAGCTTGTAGGAGCAGCTGCAGAGACTCACAATAGAACATTAGGTAGAGAGAGTGCATATTGGACATCTCTACCTGCTCCCTCATCTTGGATCTCAGGGAACCCCTCAAAATAGGGGGATGAAGAATTGTAGGAGGCAGATGAGTCAAGGATACCAGGAAAATATGGGCCATAGATATTAACTAAGCAGGCCTCAGAGGGATTAACAGAGACTGAAGTGGCAATCGCAGAGCCTGTGTGGATCTGTGGTAGTTCCTGTGAATATACGTTATTGTTGTTTCAATTGGTATTTCTTTATGGGACCTCCAACAGTGGGAGTGGGGTTGACTCTGACTCTCCTGCCTGCTCTTGGGACCCTTTTCTCATTGCTGGGTTGCCCCATCCAGCCTTGATATGAGGATTTATGCCTAGTCTTATGGCACCATGATACACCTCATGTGGTTGGTATCCCCTGGGAGGCCTGCCCTTTTCTGAAGGGAAACAGAGAAAGAATGGATCTGGGGGAGAGAGGGAAATGTGATTGGGAGGAGTGGGAGGAGGGACTGGGAAAGACTGGAAAAATGCATTTAGAATGTACTGAAAACAAAAAAGTTATTAAAAAGAAAAATTATGAAAGGAAAAAAGTCTGAATGACAGTTTAGAAAGAATAAATTTCATGAAAGAAAAGGGTTAACAAAAGAGGACTAGAAAGAAATTCAGCTTGTGTGGCATGAAGCAAAGCCCTAATACTGAGAGGGGAGAAAGAAAAGAAGAAAACATCATGAACTTAAAAGGATGTAATGAGGACAAGCTGCACACTTCTGCATCCCCATGAGTCTGGGAGAAAAGATTTCATCTGTGATTTGGTTGTCTAATACAGACTAATCAGCTTTGGATCCATGTACCCCCAAACAAGAAATGGACTCAGCCTGTCTGGTTGTGTATGTGAGAGTGTGTGTGTATGTGTGTGTGTGTGTATGTGTGTGTGATGTGTGCATACACACACATGGATGTAACAAACTATCAAAGACAAAAGGAGCTACCAACTTGAAAGTAAGGTGCATGTGAAGGGTTCAATGTAGGATAGCTAGGAGAAGCTAGAGGGAGGAAAGGGAGGGGAAGTGATGTAATTCTCTTTGAATTAAAAACATTCTTTTAAAAAGAGGTGACAAACATGGAGAGGCAAGCTGGAAATATCAAGAGACAACAGACTACAAATAGGAACAGAAATATTGAGCATGAGGTCTTTTTAAAAAATTACAGACAATAACCTACAGTGTTAATGCATATGGCAGGAAAAGGGATATTCTTGTTTCCTCGCCATTCTGCATCCATAAACGAAACAGAAAAGAAGATATCCCATGGGCTAAATTGAAGACCCAGTGTTTAATAACACTTGTAGCTTTTGTTTACCCCATGATGAACACCTGAAAAGCAAATAGCCATCCATAATCCTCAAAATAAACAAATAATTAACAATGAAACAAAAATAAGCCTATAACTATTTTAGATTTACTATTTATGTCCAAATTGATTGAAAAATATAGCTGAATGTAGTTCTCCATCAACTTAGGTATTTTATTTTATGATTCTAGGAAACAAGTATTTTCCTGATGGCTGTGTGTTAGTATATTTTTTGGTTGTTGTCAACAAGGCAGCGGATCCTTCAGTCGGGCTTCTATCTCACCACCTCGGAGAATGGAGTATACAGACCCAGATGGTGGATTTTTATTTACACAAGAGTGACAACTTGCACGTGAAAATAGAGGTTCTGAATTCTCAGTAGTGAGAGGAACCCAACTGAGAGCAATTGCCAGTTACTGTTGCAACTCTACACTTTCTTCAAGCCTAGGGATATCAGGCGAGAGGTTACCAGAATGTGTGACAGCTCTGACATCTAGATCGGCAAGGGAGTGTCCATCAAGAGTGGGCCTCTGAGAGCAAACCTATGGAAAACACTTTGCCAAAAAGACTGAACACATCAGGGGTAGGGACACTCAAAGAAGGCAGGAATTCCCCCCAAGACAGGAACAAGTTCTCTTGACTGCAGTAGATCTCCAGCTGAGATGGTTAGTTTTTTGGTTTTTTAATATATATTTTATTTAACTTTTTATATATGTCACTCTCAGTTCCCTTTCCCTCCCCTCTTCCCCCAGCCCTCCATTCATCTGAATCCCCCACCCCAATCCATCCCCCTTCTGCTCCCCAGGGAGGGTAAGGCCTTCCATGAGGGATTTTCAGAGTCTGTCATTTCATTCAGGGACGTGCCTATTATCGCCATATTATTTACTTTAACTGGTAACTTGGGTCTATGATATTGTATAGAAGTTTGCCAAAATATACGTTTTGTGTTTCCTCTTGATATAATTGATTCATCCTTTGGAGCTAATGTATTATCCAGTGCCGTATTATTTACAATGGGCAGTGGATCTTTTAATTTCCTGGGAGAGGCTGTCCTCCACTGTTACTGGGAATGACCAGATAATCTTTATTTTCGGGGCCTTCTGAGGCCCCTGTTTATGTTTCCCAGCTGTAAAGGTCTACCTTGTCTATCTGTAGTCGACCAACATTCCTTGGTCCAATGTTCTTCCTTTCCACACCTCCTGCAGAGACCGGAAGGCTGAGGCCTTCTGTCGGAATCATTCCTGATAGAAGCATTATTTCTAGAAATGCGTTGTCTACAGTTCCTATTCAGATGTCCTATTTTACCACAGTTAAAGCAAGTGTCATCTTTATATCTGTTAAAATTTTTGGAGATTGCCTCCCCTACCCAGGCGTCTATATCGTCACAGGTAGGGTATTTGGCATCCTAGTGTCTCCTCAAGCCTGTAGAAATCGCTTCACCTACCCAAGCTCCCGTACCCTGACTTTTACATTCAAGGTTAGCTGCATATAGGACCAATTCCTCCAATGCCACTGATCTTATTTTTAATGGCCAAAGTACCTGCTTGCATTGTGGATTTGCATTCTCATATGCCAAAGATTCTATAAGGAGTCACCTAGATTCTGGATTTGTTACTTGTACTTCTATTGCTCTGGACAATCTCTCTAAAAATTCAGTGAACCTTTCCCTTGGACCCTGTACTACCTTGGTATAGGGTTGCATTATGTCTCCTGTTTCACAAACTTTATCCAAAGCATTCAAAGCAGCTCTACAGCATAAAGAAAACATGTGCTCATCATATGCAGACTGAACCTGCAGGTCAGCGTAAGCACCCTCCCCAAGAATCTTGTCTTGGGGTGCTTCATAGCCATTCTTTAATTCATGAATCTCTAGGGCTTTCGCCTCTTGCCTCCATAAAGCTCTCCATTGAATTTGACATGAATTCTCAAGCACTGCCGAGGCTAATTGGGCCCAGTCTCTTGGGGTTACTGTATTTGCAATGGCCCATGAGGTTAGGAACTCTCTGATATAGGGAGAATGAAGACCATACTAAACAATGGCCTCCTTGATTCCCTTTAGGTCCTTCATCTGTACAGGTTCCCACTGATAAACAATGGGACCATTTGGGTGCTTTTTTGTTGATGGTTTTTCAAATACAGATACTGGGTAAACCATAGGTGAAGGCATAGCAACCTTAGGGAGATCTTTCCGGCATTGAGAGGTGTGGGGAAACCCCTGTCCTGACTTTGCTGCCTGTATGTCTGATTCTGAAGTATCAGATTGGAGGTCTTCTAAGACCTGCAATCTATTCATCATTGTTTCTCTGATCTCTTGAAGTTCTTGGGTCAAATAATTTTCTAAGG